TCTGGACCCTTGAACGTTCAGAAAAGTTTATTTTTAATAAAACATGACAATTGAACTGTGGCTTGAGTTGGAAAGGAGGAGGCAGAGGGAAATTATTTTACCTGGTAAACAAGGGGAATGCGGGGCTTAGATTCAGTGAGGAAAGCTAAAGGAAGTGGAGACGTGTGGGAGCCAATAGGAGCAGGAAGGAGGTGCATGGATGGGTTACTCCTACAGGAAACAGTTCTTTTTCTTGTAATTTGTGTACCCGTTAGGTACACATTTCCTCTTACTTCCTGCTTGGTTACAAAGATCATATGTGAGCGAGTATCTCCGAACGGTATCCCTGACAGCAATGCAAACCTGACAGAAGTTTCTACCCTCACAGAATTTAAAAAATGTTATTCAAGAACCACAATTCTATTGCTATAGGACCTTCGGTATGAAAAATAATACTTGACTTCTAAATAGGGTTCCACATATAAAAAGTCCAACATTTCCACAATTGTGATATTAAAAAAATCAGCCAATCCAAATCATAGAGAAATAAGTAGAATCACCTTTGGACATGTCCCTGTACAACAAAGTCTCTGCACCTTCACAAACTATTACTTTTGAAGAACCATGCAAGCCATAATCACCTTACCATAACATCTTTTAGACAATCATGAGTAAGGGAAAATAGTAAGGCAAGTATAAAATACAATCATTGTTTTAAGAATTTCTACAAATATATAGAGGGGAATTTATCAAAACTGGAATCCGGAGCAGTTGCTCATGGCAACCAATCAGTGACTCTTTTTTTTTTCAAAGCTTAGCTGAACAAACTGAAGAGAGAAGTTGATTGGCTACTTTGGGCAACTACTCCAGATGCTGTCTACTTCAGTTTTGATAAATCAGAAAGATGCATTTAATGCATGGTATCTGACAGATGCATCTAATGCAGAAGATACTCAGCAAAATGAGAATTTGCATGCAAACCCTCCCCCCCCCCCCAAAAAAAAAACCCAACCTTCCTTACCAAAACCCGTATTTTTTA